TGTTTCACAAAAATTTACTCCTTCACAGTTTTAATCAACTTGATTGTTTTTTTTTTTCTAAAGATATGTGTGCACCTGCCTGGGGAGCCTGTGCGGCCACCATGGACACGGTGTTGCCCCCAGTATTAGCTACACCAGGAGCCACAAGTGAGCAAGAAACTCAGCTTGATTCCTGGTCAAATTAATAGGAAAAAAAAAAAGTCAAGAAGGTTAAAAATGGAAGGAAATAACTGTGAAATGCAAACTTGCATGCAAGTGATGGAAATTAACTGCTTTTACCACATTAAAGTTTTTGAACTGTGTGTTAGGTCTTAGTGTTTTCTTTTTCAGTATGTTTAGGTGGTTGCACATATTTTGTCTGCAAGTACTCAGTGACTTAAAGTTCATGAATTTTTTTTTTTTTTTCCTTTTTGGCTTAATTTTTCGTTTCCCTCCTCCTAAGGTATTTCTCCACAATGAATATGAGAAATATTTTGTAAGGAATAAGAAGCAAATTACTTACCTAGGGGACATAAAGAACATAAATATATCTATTTATTCATTTATTGTAATTACATTCAGGACTTGAGCTGCAGGTTTCCTCTTGTGGTTTTGGGGAGTTACTGATTTAACCTTGTTAGTGATTTTAGATTGGCTTTTTAGATATGTGCTGACATTTCCTCCCAAGGAAATGGGAGTTGTGCTCTTCTAGGACCCCACAATAATTGCACAGTAATTGCACTGCGGGTATGTGCCACGCTAGATTGGGTTTAACATACATCACAGGACAAACATGGGATTAAACCTTGTCAGTCGCTGGGGCTCTGGCTCTACCCTGTGACCTAACGGTGGTGCTAAGGTTGAGCTCACGCAGCTGCTGCTGTTCCCACACGACAGTGTAAAAGCTGCAGGACAGAGCTAGGCCATGATCTTCTGGCATCTTTGCAAGGCCTTAACTGTTTCCACAGCTGTCATTAATTGCAGAATTCATGGCTCATTTGGTGAGAGGGGGAAAAATGCTTTTTCTTGGGCCCGGTTTTCATACCTGATATATAAATCTGATGGCTGTGGATTAATTTTTATAGGTCTGCTTGGTAGCAAGTGTGGCTATTTTAGTTAAGAGCTCCTAGCTGAAACATTGTCCCTGTGCATTTTGAAGTTACTTGAACATATTTGTAGTATGGGTTGGGAAGGAAAATAAGCTTTTAAAACCTGAAAGTATGATCTGTCTTGGCATAAAAGCAGTGGCTAGTGTTTGTTGTGTTATTGCAAAGAATCACCTTTCTTCAACATAGCTCCAGCTACTGCTGTGGATTCACAAGAGAGACTGTTTATGGCCCTCACTTAGGCAGCTGCTGCAGCAAGCATGACTCTTTCATATGAGGGGAGAAGAAATTGCTGAGAGGGAGGTCGGACATTGCAACTGGTTCCCCGAAGAGGTGGTTACTCCATTCTCGAGAGCAAATTTGAAGACTTGTTTCAGCAAGTGATTTGAGCCTGTGTTTTTTCGTTTTCTCTGGCAGGATGATGAAAATGTGTCACTCCAGGACATTGCACTCTCCATTCCATCAAGTCCGGAACCACAAGAAGCTGAATCTACTTTTAAGGTAAACAACACTCACTCCTGCACAATAGAGATACAAGCTTGCTTGTAAGAGAGAAAATCAACTTCCCTATCATTGAAAAGCAGTGCTGCTTGCATCTGTTTAAATACAAACCTAGCAAGTGTTCATATAGCCTATCTGTTTTTGTTAAAATGGATTTATTTACCTTTCAAAATTCATGCTTACACATTCATGTACCGTTTAAATAATTGAAATAACTTTGCCTTTTCATATTTGTAGATATGAGAATTAACAGCTGCAGAGTAATTTCTTTCAAAAATGTTCTATTTGATAACTGTTAGAATATTTCTAATTTTGAATTTTTTTTTTTACTTTGTAGTGCAATCACACCAAAATTAAATACTTACTGTGTTTCATTACATTTGTTGTTACCCTATACTCCACTCTAAAATATCTTTCAGTGAGTTTTCCCTGAGGCAATGTGGGTGTTGAGATTATGAGAATTTAAAAACACAGTCAACCAAAAAAAAAAAATAACCCATAAAATCCAAGATGCATTCATTTTCTTTCATAGTCACGGATTTGTAATGTGCTCTCTGCCCTGATAAGCTTTTATAGCATTACTGAGGCTTCTTATTGTAAAATCAATATAAAAGGTTCACTAATTCTGCCCTTAAAGGAAGGGAATAATGCCCATTTCTTAAGAGATGATGAACTTAGCAATCCTAAAGGAAAGGCAAGAGCACTTAAAATCTTATTCTCATCTGAAGTCTGTCTGTCCAAATCCTAGTTTTAGAATTAAAAATGATTGTCCTCACCTCATGTATGCGTCAGCATCATCCTTTAGCAACACTGAGTTCTAAATTATCAACATTCAGGCCTTCTTTGCTCTTTAACTGGAGAATAAATCAGTGTGGATGTTATCCTATAGCGGTAACTAAAAACATTATCCAGGCAAATGGAAACAGTAAATGAATCCTAAATGCAAGTATGCCTCACAATGTATGACCTAGTTTTAATAGTAGAGTTGCAAAATATGTTAAAACTACGTTATGGTAAAAATATTAAAAAACACTTGCATATTTAAGTCATACCTTCACTTCATGCTTGGATAGAATGTATTCAAAGCTGTCGTGTTATTTGCGTTCGGTAAACAGCTATACTTATATTTGTAAGTTTTTTAAATAGCAGTACACTTCAGTGTGAAGATTTGATATTCTTTTCTGGATAAATAAGAGGATAAGTAGTTCTTGGTGGCCAGGGTTGTTTCCCTCCAAGCTACTAGGCATTTACGCAGTGGGTGAGTCATGGCCTTAGAAATGCAGCTGGTTTATTCACAGGTGTGTAGTATGAAAGCCTTGTGGGCTGATTCAACTCTTACAGAGATTTCTAGTCAAGTTTCTTCACCCTTTAGACTGTACACATGCAGCCCGTGTCAGCATGTGAATTACAGGAGGGGAGAGCATGATGTGATAAGTTTGAAGGAAAGTATGGGCTAATATGGCCAGAGTTGCACGAATGTGTGATTTAATGTGCCTTGTGGAGGTGTGAATTCCAATTGTGCAGCCCTCATAGGAAACTTCCTCTTACCTCTGTTCTGCCACAGACAGAAGATCTGCTAAATGAGATCAAGCAGCTTAAAGATGAACTGAAGAAAAAGGATGAAACAATCAACCGGCTGGAGCATCAACTCGTAAGTATAACGTTAAATATCTGATAGATTCTCAGGTGTGTGCCACAGGATGTAACTTTCATATCTGGTTCTTATGAAGGCTTTAAGAAGGTCAGGCTTCTAATTTTGACTTTTTCCTCCCTGTGCTTTCATTCAAAACAAAAAAAAAATATAGGTCAAGATCTGCCTCTCTGCTGCTTAACAGTATTCCAGATCATCCAAACAATCTGTCTTGCCAATTAGCATTTTACAGTAAGCATTGCTTTTAGAGTACTTAGTCTTGCTGTTCAGAGAGCAAGTGAAGGCACTGTGAGCCCTCAGAGAGGTCTCTCCTCTCCTGCTAGGCTGTCTGTCTAATTGCACTAGTAACTGAAGGGCTTTGCAGCTAAGGAACTCTGCCATGAAGATGGGTAAACTTCTATTCACAGTTATTTAAAGGTGACCTGAATGTGATGTTTTAGATATTCAAGTGAACCAAAAAATATATTCCAGAAGTTAACATTTATTCTAAATTATTCATATATTTTAAAAAAGTGGATGAGTAGTATTATAAATATTAGTTTCTCTGGTTTAATGGTATTGTGCTATACTGCCTTGGTTCTGCTTTATAATAGGCTTCACTATTTGCTAATACGCTCTTCTCTTTCTCCTTTTGCTGGGGGTTAAGGCCACTAGGTGCAACTGCCAGAAGGACAACGAAAAACTTAAAGGGGCGACATGTTTGCATGCAGACAAATTTACACAGACCTCCTGGAAGAGAAGTTCTGTGAGTAGAGCTTGCCCTTCCTTCGTGGGTGTGACTTCCTGCCTTTCACCCCAGGTTTATTATTGCCCTCGTGCTGGCTGGCCTTGGTTAAGAGGTTCAGCCCTCTATCTAGGGTGCTGTACTCCTACAGCCTTCCTGCTCTGCACCTCCTGCGCATTTGCCTGTAGCTCTCTTAAACGTACATAGTAAACATATATTTTTTAAAAACTGTAATTAAATTCTGGAAGGCTACTTTTAATAGGCCATCTACTTAGGTAAGTCAGCCCAAGATGTATCTCTGATCATACAAGACATGTCATGTCTTGTTTTTCATCTGTGTTTTTTTTTTCTTTTTTTTTCTCAAGATGTATCTCTAATCATACAACAAGACATGTCATGTCTTGTTCTTCATCTGTGTTTTTTTTCTTTTGTTTTCTCCTGCTTAAGTTATGTTGCTGCTGTGCTCATGGTGGCTGTGGAGAGTCACAGCGTATTCAATCATAAGTGTTTTTTTTTTCCCCAAAAAAAATTATGATTTTGTTTTTTAGCCTTAAATTTGAAAAACATAACTCGTTCAAAAACAAATTGCCTTGACAGACATCTTCATTCCTATATGTTGTTGCATGGTTCATGTTTGCTTCCACTTTACAGCCGTTACATTCTTTGTGCATCAGTAGTACTGTACTTAAAATAGGGGTGGAACAGCACACTTTTTGTGATGTACTCGTCATGAAAAATTATCTTTGAGTAGGGAAAAGGTGTCTGTCAGTCATCAGCATGTAATCTGCTGATGGGAGTCTGGCATCTGCTGCTCTACCTAGCAAATCCTGAGAGGTTTTTTTTTTTTTCCCAAACATTTGAAAATAAATTAAACTCGTTATTTTTTTACGCAGTTTCAACACACTTGATGTTGGGGGTGGAGGTTGTGGGGAAGGAATTGGGCAAGATGGTAATAAAGATTCACCCTCTCTGCTACCCCTCTAAAAATGACTCCTTTGGGTATTTAGTTTAGTTTTAGGGTAGGAAGCACCCTGGGTCATATTCACCACCAAGCTGTTTCCGGCAAAGAGCTTTTTCTTTCTGCTGAGGCCATGTTTTCTGACCTTCCTCTGCCTGCTAACTACCAAAAGTAAAGGGAATATAGCCAACTCCAAATGCCTTCCGTTTTCCTCGGACACTTGGTATCCCTGCCTTTTTTTCATACCTTTCACTTGTTTCTTAGGAGCTTTTGAGCTCTTTATTGTTTTGCTTTTCCCAAGGCTTAATTTCTTATGTGATATTCAGCTGACACCCTTTCCCCCCATCCCACAAATACTATTTCCAGGTTAGTGGCAGTCCTTACTTTTGGGTTCCTTTTTGTTTTAGTCTGTAGTGTTTTCTCCGGAATTTCAAAAATAGTTTACTAATATTGAAAGTTACTGAACAACTACAGAAGTTTCAGTTTGAGCAACCTCCTTTAGTTGGTAAGGCAAAGACACTGGAGGTGGGAAATGGGAGAGGCTAAGTTAATATTAACAGCAGGTAGAGGGAGTCAGTTTAGTCCAGATATCCATTTTGGTCAGGTTGAAGTACATATATTCCTGCCTACAGAGGTGCAGCAGTTGAGTTACCTCTCTGACCTGCATTTTACAGAAGGCACAAATGTGGCCTGGCACTCAGGGGTCTGATCTGAGACACTTCCTCTGGGCATTGGAAGCAGCCTGGGGGAGAATATCCTTAAAAAGCTCTTGGCACCTGCTATGTTCAGGTCGTGTGTTTGCATGTATGTGTGGGGATGTGTACAAATATATGCATGCTTATAGGTGCACTCTGAGTAATCTATCTTCCTTTGCATGTAAAGAATCTCAAGAAAATTGTGGGTTGGAAAGATTCACTAAGTTTGCACAAATGTTCAAAGTGCAGTTTATTTTAGAAACTTTCCCTTGTAAATGATAGCTCAGAAATTTGGGGCAGAAACCGTGTTTCGTATTCCCATGTACAGCACGGTTTTCCCATCCTCCTCATATATGACAAGTTTTGCCATATATGGCAGTTTTTCTCCTCTATTTGAATTACTTGGGAACTTCAGCATGCATTTGGCTAATACAGGAACATGTGTGAGTCGCTCTTAATTGGAGAAGAAAGAACTCCAGATTTCTTTGCTGGAGTTTTGTAAAATTCTAATAAAAGTTGTCGTTTTGGAGGCCAGGCATATTGTCTGGTACCTAACTCTGAACATGCTGTACCTACAGCATCAGTACAGTCTTTGGCAAAATTCCCAGAAGTCATAATGTCCCTCCAGAAAAACTACCAGCACTGTGTTTTCTGGTCCCTAGTGCTTAATTATTTTATGTGAAGTAGATTTAAGCCATGCTTTTTATTTTGCCTACAAGAAACCCAGCTACCGTTTGAGGTTTGCTCCCTTGCACCAAGCAGTGTCAGCTCTGCGGCGCAGCCCGCAGCGCCGACGGCTTCAGCTCCGCAGCCAGCGCCGGCCCTGGCCCCCGGGGACGCCCGGGACGGTGGGCGGCGACCCCGAGGGGCTTCCTGGCCTTGCTGCAGGGCTCTGCTCCTCCCCTGCAGAAGCTGATGGTGCACGAGGGGCAGCTGAGCAGAATGTGCTTGGTGCTGTGCCTAGCTGCAGTGCTCATAGAGATGCTTGCTGAAAACTATCAGGAAGTCTAAACATTTCTCTGCTTTTACAATACAATATCTTAATTGTTATGCAGCCTGGTTGGTTGGTACTTGTTTGAATTGCTTCTTTGAGAAGTTGAGAGGATTTAAAATTTTCACCACCCCTGTATTGCACCATAACTGTAAAATCTGAAAGGAGGATGTTGCTGACCCACCCACCACCACAAATGGGTCCTTACACCACCAGGCCTGTGCTTGATGATACTGTGTTTTTTTTTATTTATTTATTTGTAGAGAAGGAAGCATTTCTTTGTTTGGGTTCCTTTCTTTGGGTTTTACTGCCCTGAAATAATTAAGGATTATATGTGAACCAACCTGAAAAATCTAGTTTTCTCTTATATGGTGCTGTGGAAATTAAAAAAAAAAAATTGTTACTCTCCTATCAGTCAATGATTAATCTTGTTCCCAGAAATATTTTTCCTTTTATACCTGCCTCTGCCAATGCAACAAAGTTGTTGTCATCCAGCTTCATGGAAGCTGGTGGTGCTATTCCTTCATGCAGCAGTCTATAACTTGTGTAGTGGTGCTGATGGAAGACTAAGGAGGTGCCAGGTAATCAGTATCTCAGGCCAGAGATCATCAGGTTAAGGAGCTTGCTTTATTCTTGATATTTAGCTCCAAAAAATGTCCTCTCTGTGCTTGTGCAAGCTGAACCTTATTGCTGTCTTCTGCCTAGGTGCAATGCTTTACAAACTGTGCAAGGAGAAGCACAGCTACCGTTGTTAGCTGCTGTTGCTGGCGGGCAGGGGGCCCGGGGCGGCCTTGCCC